TGAGTTGTTTAAATCGTTGGTGTCTTTTTAACTCACTTTAAGTTAGATTTATCTTATTTTTATTGAGCTAATTAGGTAATTATATGTTATTAAATGAATAGAAAGTAAAAAGTTCAATATTAAAAAAAAAATCCTTAAATATAAATAAATAATTATATAACAATACACTATACTTGCAATTTTTTATTATTATTATAACTTGCAAGTTTATAATCATAGATAGAAGAATATAACAACGAAAAAATGCATATATGATAATACATATTTTGTTATTTTTTTATGGAAAAATATCAATTTTATATTTTTTAATTTAAAAATTAATTAAATAGTGATATTATTGTAGTAAATGGCTTTAATAACCATCTAATTAACTATTAAACAAAAAAGAAAAGCAAAGTTGGCATTCTAAAATTAAAAAAAATGAAAATTTACTATTTTATTTAAAAATTAATAAAATTTATATTTTTAAATAAAAGAAATTCTAACATATACCCTTACAACACAAGATAAGGATGTAATTAATATGTCTTTCTTACATTAATTAGTATGAAAAATAACAAAATCTAACATTAATTTTATTATAATACCATGTGAATTATTTTAATTAGAGATTTAATTAAATAAAAAATTAAGTTTTATTTTTTAATAATAATTAAAATAAAAAAATACTCTTCACTTATGCATTAAAAATATAAATTAAAAAAATTCAATAAAAAAAAAACAAAATTTATATTCTTATATCAATTTTTTCTCTTGCAAGTTGCAACAACTCTTACCGTCTTACATTTTGTTCTTTAATGGGCCTGGATAGCGGGAAGAGTGGAGATACCTTGTTTCGGCGTCGTTTTAATTTAAAGGACTGTCACTGACCAAGCGCAGTGTGAGCGCGTAGCGAACCATGAACTTTTTTTTTTTTTGAAAGGTACAAATACAATGGATAGTCCTAACTTTTTAAACTTTATACAATCAGGTCTCTTAGACAAATATTACACTGTTTTAAATGGATTTGTTTACATGTAATTTTTATAGATTAAATAGAAAAAAAATATTTGTGTTCTCTTAATCTAATAATGGGACATGCATACTTCTTCTTTTTAAATTTTTTATTATCACAATCTAACTTAAAACCTTCAATATATGAAGATTAAAACTCTTTACTATATCAATACTTTTAAAACCACTCTAGCCAACAGCCAAGCAATGCACCTCAATGTCATGGCATATACATTTCATAATCCTAGCTTAGAAGGAAAATTGGATTCCCAGTGAGAATATGACAGGTTGGGATTTGTCCAAGTTCAACATCCATTCTCCTCTTCTCTATATTATAAATTAAATTTACAAACTAAATCAAATACAAATTCTCTTTGACTTTTTTTATATAATCATAATTTGTTCTCAAAACAATGATATTGCATTAGCACTAGTTCAACTTTTTTAACTGGCATTATTATACTTTTGATATATTTGTATAGTGATAAATTAATATATATAAATTTGTAACTAAGTGAGACATTAAAGTGATTGAATGTGAATATAAGATAATTTAAAAATTGAGAATCCAACTGTATGAATTGACACTCATGATACGATGCCACCTTCTCTTGGGCTTAAAAAAAAACACTAGCTTACCAAGGGCTGATATATCCTTCATCAATCAATCTTATTCTAAACCTTAAAAGTTAAGTTTGATCTATCAAGATTAAAGTTCAATATGTACATTCGATTTGTGTAAGACACACCATGGTTTCCAGCAATTCATCATTGCCGGGAAATAAGTAATGCATTTGATAAAGAATGGAATATTAGGATAGGATTTTAGGGACAGAACAAGTTTTGGTAAAACAGGGGGAAAATAAGCTAGAAATAAAATGGAAATGTGAAAGGTCCTTGTGAAGGATTAAAGTGTTTGCTAGAAAAATTCTTTAGTGCAATGTTGGCAGTATTCATAATCAATAGAAATGTTAGGGGGTTTAAATGCACGTTGAAGGTTTTATGTTTTTTATTTTTATCTTAAAAAATAAATAAATTAGGTCACATCATACAAAATAACTTTTTTTCATTTCTTTGCAAGATAAATCTTGAGACAAATTTCTCCTCAATGTGTAGAGCATGATAGGAGAGACCTCATAATTTGGAACGTCCATTTCCTGCAAAATTTTGTTGATTTATACAAACAATTACTCCAGATCAATACCGATTTTATAACTGGAACTAATTAATGAATAATACATCTCATTTGATTCATTGTTTGCTTAATTCATCCTTCACCATACACAGAAGATGAATAGCAACAACATTCACTTGGAAATTTTCTTATGTAACTACTAATTGGGTTATATATTTCTCCTGAAAGTAATAATACTAACCCATGGTGTAAGATGAGGAGGGTAAATTGATAACAGTGCTCTTGATCTTGGTCATCATGTTAATGCTGTTGGTAATGCCTTGTGACCCTATTCCACTGTCCTTCAAACCCTGTCACCAATAATCTGTTCTGTTACAATCTTCCAAAATCACCCTAATCAAGAAATTGTATTCAGTTTCCAGGAATTCATTTACCTGAAACGGGAAATGATCTGGTCCACGTGCTGGCGCGGAGTTGATCTGAACAGTTCCTGTCTCCATTGCATCACTTATCAGCACAGCCTTGTTAATGTCCTTAGTGAAAACACAGCCCTGCATTTCCAAAAGATGCATTTGTGAAATGTACTTGTTATGAATACCACTTCACTTGAAGAAACTAGTATACCTGGAGTCCAAAGTTGCTAGCATTGCAATGGTGGATTCCTTCTTCGGGAGAATTGATCCTTATGACAGGTAAGACTGGTCCAAATGGTTCTTCCCAAGCAATTCTCATGTCAGGTCTAACATTGTCTAGCAACAATGGCCAAATCAGGTTGCCTTCTCTTTTATACTCCTGACAGAATGTTGCTCCTTTCTGTTTAGCATCCATAACTAATCCTTCAATGAAATTTGCAGAGGATTCTGACACCACTGGAGTGATATCACAGTCATCCTCAGGCGGACCAACTGTTAACTTTGCCACTTTGGCCTTAACCTTCTTAATCACAGCATCCGCAACAGATTCCATTACCAACACAACCTTAACAGCAGTACATCTTTGTCCACTGTTGGAGATGCAAGTAGGAAGAGTTGATGTCCTGTTAGTTTCAAAGTACCAACACATACGAGTCAAGTTTTTGAAGAAATTTCTCTTTACCTGTAAGAAAATCCACCTTTTACTATGTTTGCTGCAACCAAATCTAAGTCAGCATCCTCAAGCACAATACAAGCATCTTTTCCTCCCAATTCCATCTGAAGAGGGATCATTCCTGCCTTTTTTGAGATTGCAATTCCAGTGTCTCCACCGGTGAAGCTGATAAAAAGGGAATGGAGGTTGGGGAGGGACTAATGGGAGCGCATGCAGATTGCAGAAGTTGAAAAACTAAACTAAGACTACCTTATACAGTTTACACCAGAATGCATGGTGAGGAAGTCACCAATCTCTGAACCTTTTCCAGTGACACAGCTAATAAGGCCTTTTGGAAAACCAGCTAAATGAAAGCAATGCGCCATATGAAGAGCAGCAACAGCACCCTGCAAAGGATGAAAGGACAATCGCATCTCAAACTATTCTTCTTAGTTAGAAGATTTAGTACCAGATTTTGTATTTCAAGCATTTCGAGTTTACCTGTGTTGGTGGCTTGAGTACAAGGGAGTTTCCGGCTACCAATGCTGGGCCAATTTTTGAAACAGCAAGGTTCACAGGATAGTTGAATGGTGGAATGGCTAAAACCACCCCAAGTGGAATCTGTAGTTCAAATTCCACTTCAGTAAACTAGCCCTTTTGACTTTACCAAAAAAAAAAAACTAGCACTTTTGACAATCAAAGAAATTTTCCACATGGTAATTTTATTTTTCTATGAAGAAAAAATAAAATTAAAAATAAAAAAACACCCTGAGTTATGGTAACAAACAACCTAGGAAAAAGTAAGTGGTTTCAGAAGATAGATTTAAAAGGCTGTCTTTTAGTGGTTCAGCTCTTATCTTCAATATGTCATGACATCAGACAAAAGAATGCCACTTTACAAAGTAATAATGATAATAGTAATAATAGCATCATCTTTAACAAACTCTTAACTGATTCAAAAAGGAAAACAAACAGCAAGAATCTGCAAATGCCCCATCCTTTGAGGAATGAATATGCATTTGTCATAATCAAGTCAGTCTCATAATTCATACAGAGGATATTTAACGAGAAACTGAAGAAAGTTACAGATACAACGAAGAAAAACTGGTAATGTTACCTTGGAGATAAGGCAGTACTTAGTCCTCTCATTTCCAGCAAAGCTATCAGAAACCAGGAATTTCCCTTCTCCCAGAATCCTAACCCCTTCTTCAGCAGTGTAAGATACTAGATCCCCAGACCTCACAACCTTCATTAATCAAAATATCAAAATCAATTTTCCTTATAATCACTAGTTAACTTTCTGAACACAACACAGAATGTACAAGATATGCTATACCTCTGTAACAGCATCCTTGGCTGGTTTGGCAATTTCCTTAACTAGACACTCAGCAATTGGTGCTTTATGCTTCTTTAGGATGGCAGCAGCCTTGTGAAGGAGCTCTGCTCGCTTCCATAACGGAGTCTTTGCCCATGATTTTTGTGCAATCTTTGCTGATTCCATTACCTTGTTCACCTCTTCTTGTGTACAGGCTGTTTCAAAACCATCACACAACAAGGTCAGACAGACATGTCTAACATTTCTCTGTTTGATTCCAAAGAAAATCATGTCCTAACATACTAAACAGAACAGACATAGCATCATAATGCTTAGTTCTTTACCTTGAACCTTGTACTGAGTTTTTCTGGTGGTTGGATTGATAATAGCAACACTTTTCCCAGAAGAAGACTTCTTCCACTCTCCATCAGAGTAATACTTGTATACTTCTCCATCCAAAATCTGTGAAAACACTCCAGTTCCAGCCATTATCACCCGAACCCTTGAAGAACAAAAAAGTTAGACACAAAAAGAGAAAGGGTGAGTGTCTGGTGAGGGTTTGCTGCTGGTTTTTGAATCATGGTTTGGTGCTTTATATGGAAAGAAGTTGAGCCACACTTTGGCTTTGAATGCAGCTGTTTCGGACAAAACAAATTTAAAGGGTTTGGTTAGGAGGCTCACAATGTGCCAAGTTAGAAAATTAGAGATTCTTTGGTTTTTCTTTAACTCTTGTTATATCTCCACGTCAAGGAGGTTCCAGAATTATAAATTAGTTTGCCTCATTCCCTCCATACCCTTTACACCTTTTCCCAAAATCTCTCACTTTTACAGAAGAATAATGAAAAATAAAAAAGACAAAAGTAGAACAGAACAGTAGAAGACCAACTTCTTTTAAATAAGACAAGAGTTCAGTTAAAGATTCGAAAGAAGAGAAAGAAAAAGGTTCATGGACAGCAAAGAGAACTGAACAGGTGAGTATTATTATGGCTCTTTGGATGAATTTTGGCCATTTTATTGCAAAACATACATACTACCTAGATCCACATGGAGGCGTTCTTTTTGGTTTCTGAAAAAAGAGTGATTAACTTGAGGAAATGAGCAATTCCAATGTCACAACCAAAATTTAGTCCAAATTTTCATGAAAATGAATGTATTTATAATATTGATTTTTTATGCTTTGTTTTGAAGGAATTTGGAAAAAATAAAAAATAAAAGTTTGCACATGTCCATTTTTCAGCTTCTAAGTATGGAATAGTGTTAGATAGCTTTCTGTGTAGGTTCTTCAGCTTATCCTTATGGGCATCCACATTTATTAGAGAGACTCCATCACTTCTTATCCATTTTTTTAGATAAACCCATTACTTCTTATCCTTATCCATGGCCATGACCATGCTGCATATTGCTCTAAAGTGCTCTGACTGAATCCGCTCCCCCACTACTCCGCTGAAAAACCGAAGGTATGCAACATTTGAGAGACTAAGGTTCGAACAGAATTTAATCTTGAATCTCTATTCATTAGAGAAGAGAAAATGATTGTCAGACCATTTTACAGGAAAATAGCAAGAAGAAGAGTAGCATTAGCAAGAAGCATGAAATTGTTAGTGAGAATAGGAGACATGAAGGTTTGTTGGCTTGGTGATGGTGTACATTAAACCTGTCTCAGGAACCACAAAGCTTGTGTGGACTAGACTCTAAGGGATCCATTTCCTTCAAAGGACCGTGGACAATGTCAAAGCTTATGACCTCACTAATTCACTAATATAGATGAACCTCTTGTGACAATCAACACTGACATGGACTCCTTAGGTGAGGCAGTCAAGTTCTTATCAATTATGTGAGGCTAAATTTCATCATGATGCTATTGAGGCAAAGCAATTCTTATTTTATCATGAGCTAGAACCACCAATTTCATTCGGTGGTACTCAACTCATTAATCAGTCCATTGTCCCAAGCCCAATCCAACAACCAAAGAGAAGCTCAGACAATGATCCATTTGAAAAAAGAAATGGACTTTTGGATCAAGAAAGAACCATTAGGCCCAAAAAACAGTTGTGCTGGATGTCTCAACTGGCGACAACTTCTTCCCTGAAAAATAACAGCACTAGAATAAGGGATGAATGATGAATACAAATGTACATAATACATACCCCAACAATATCAAAGTAAAATCATGGAAGCTTCGTTGCTATATAAAAAAGTGAAGTATAGTCCTTCTTATAAAAATGATAAAAATATTTTCAAAAATTATAAATATGTAAAAATTTATTAATAATATTCAATTTGTCCTAAAAAAAGAACACTCTCAAATCAAATCTTAATATATTTGATTGAGAAACTTAAAGAGTCTTTTTTTTTTTATTATTATTATCTTGATTGCATAATAGGAGATAATCATCTCCATATTTTATCTCACCTCACTCGCATACCATGCGACTCGAACTCAAAACTTCTTATTTCTAGTAAAATGAAATAATCATTGAATTAATTAAATCATTGGCAGAAATTTAAAGAGTTATGACTCAATTAGTGTAGAAGTTTACTTCTCACTCTATTAATCAAGATTTGATTTTTTAGAGAGATTAATAAAAAAATAATTCTTAATGAGTTCTTAATTCTTAATAAATTCTTTAATCTTAATGTGGATGATTGTTTTTAATCAAATTAAAGAGAAATTAATTTTAAAATATATAAAAATTGATTCAAAAATACTCTAACCGTTAAATCAATATATATGTGTGTGTGATTGAGAAGATCATTAAGATTCAAAATGTGTTTACAAGTGTCGTGTTGACAACGTAAACGTAGTTAATCAAAGATGGTTTGAGGATGACGGGGTAGTAGGACCTTCGGGCTAATATTTTTGAGTTGGCGACAATCTATTGGGTTCAAGTTGCCTTCACTACAACTAAATGATAGCAACATCCGACCGTCTCCCACAGAATTAACAAAACATGAAATTAATTTTTTTGGGCCAACAAAATGAAGCATAATTGCAATTTGAATCAATTTCATAATGTTCTAGAAAAAAAAATAATTACAATTTGAATCTCATTCATCATTATTGGTGGTTTAAACTAGGTTATCTCAGAGCTTTTTGAATTGTTTTAAATATTAGTAACAACTACTATCAATTCAATGTTATTATAAGAAAAAAAAAAAAAAATGAAACCACAAGTAATAGCACAACTGGTAATAACCACTCGAGCCTCCTGTTGGTTAGTATCAAATTGAGAATTCTACTTTCCATCCCCTCCATGGCCTCCCTTGTGTTAAAAAAAAAAAAAAGAAAAATGAAAATTGTGGTGACAAATTAAACATTCTTTTGGAGGGCTCATCTTGCTGTTTTTGCCTGCTAAGTTACAAATTATGAATGATAACATTATTAATTATTAATACAACTATATAATAAGGTATATGGTCAGGTATAGTGTATATAGTAATTATTTTTTAATTATTAATATAACTATATTTTTTTATTAAAAAAAAAAAAGGTTTAAGCTATCACCCTCAAGTTCAATGGGGATGCACATTACTTTCATAATATGAGCACATGGACATCCTCATTTGGTTCGAGAGATGTGCTTTTCTTATGCACATGGGGTGATACCATCAAGGAAAAACTGAAAATGATAAAAAGGGGGGACCTCATAAACAAAAAAATTAAATAAAAAATTGTTTTATAATTTAAATTGTTCCAAAAAAAAAAAAAAAAAAACTAGACTGCATTTAGATTACTCAAATAAAATTCAAAATAATGGTGGCATTGTTGTTGGTTTAATTGAAGGTGAAGCATAATTGTATTGTACTACTAAATCATGAGCGCACAATTTTTTTTGTTTTGCGTTGCAAAATGCACCCCTCTCAAACGGATGTGGTGTTTTGTCATACCACACGGTTGATATCTAATTTAATTAATATTTTTAAATAATTAATTATAATATTTAAAATTATTAATTTATAAATTAATTTTAATATATAATAAAATAATAAATATAAATTATTAATGATTTTTAATAATTAAATTAAATAAAATTCATATTTTTAAAATTATTATTATGTAATTTTAAAATTATGGTATATAACCATAACTACACCTCTCTCGAAACCACAAAAGGAGCACATAATTAATAAAACTTCCCAAAATATATGTTGCATCAATCAATCATCGTACGCGGTTGTTGTAACTTCTCTCTGCTTACGGTTCATTCTGCCCAACTTATTGTCCTAAAAATGCTTTTATTCCATTGCCTATTTTCCCAAAAAAGGAAAAATGGTTTTATTGGCAAGGTCAAATAGACTGTTTATCAGAGATGAGAAACTATGAAGAATACTTTCAAGTCACGGGTTCGGTTGGGTTGTAACATAAACAATTGATTAACATATACATATATATATATATATATATTTGAACAAATTTGTAAGAAATCAAATTCGAACGATTGCTTTGAAGTGGAAGAATGCACTTATATATGACTTGACATCACTGAGTCTGAAGACCCAAGTGCATATACATATATATATTTGAATATGTGAAAATGAAGAAATAAAAATAATTTGACTGTGTTATTACGAGAAGGAAGTAAAATTTTAATACTTACCAGGAATTTGATGCATTTTAATTAAGCCAGCTAAAAGCTGCAGTTGCAACAATTGATTAACGTATGGTTTGGTCCCAACAAAAATGATTAATTGAGTTGTTATATGGTACTTCTATTAAATACGCACACCCTACCCTTCTAAACCTTTGAACAATTTTTAACTGAGTCCATTAATTTTTATTTTTGTTATTTTTATCCTTAAACTTCTAATTTATTTTTATATAATTTTGGTCCATTTCTTTATCAAATTTTCACTTGGCCTCCTTCTAAAAGTTTTTAATGGCTCTGCCACTGCCCTAAGATCTCTCCTCTTCTGTTCCTTTTTTGTTTCTTCTTAGATAGGTTGCGGGGTAGGAGTCTAGCTTAGCCATTGAGTTGGGGAGATGATACTCAAGAGTCAAAACCAGTTTGGGCAAGTTCTCATGTCCATATCTCTCTCTCTTCATTTTTTTCTTCTTCTATTCATTATGGGATTGAAGTTCCTATTGTATGATCATGCTTTACTATATATTTTCATTTCCTTAGTACTCTGGCCTGGTGTGACGCATGCATGCTACCTGCGAACACAGAAAGAATGGGATTATTTTTGGGAGACGAGGGGAGTGGAGGATTATTTACCATGTGCCCGAAAGAATACGTAAAGGAAGGTCGGATCATGACTCAATGACCCCATGAGCGAGCAATTTCGAAGTGTCTTGATCCAAAACCCTGACACAACCACTTACTAGCTAGGTGGTTTGTGTTTTTCCCACTTGTGAACTGTGATAGAGAGTGCGCACAGACAAAAATGTTACGAAAAGCTGTCAGGAATCTAACATTTTTCAGAACCACATGCTCTCAATTATCCTTTCTGAAACACAATTGCTGGTTGTCGCTACCTCTATCCTACTGCTTCAATTAACGGTCGATTGAATTGAACATAAGATCTAAAACAACCGCAAACAACAATGGAACTATTAGATCCTCAGAAAATCCAGTATCAAAGATGATAGTGAATAAATATATACTTATAAAGAGACCCGTTTGTACTGTCATCCATCCTTAAAAAGAAGAATGAGAGTGAGAATTATCGAATATTTGCAAAACAAATTGACTATATGATGGAACAGCCCACTACGGTTAATGACATGAATATTGAGTTAGAATCGTTCATTTTTTATAAGTGACATATTTAAATTAACAAATATTATTTTTTATTCTTTCACTTAATTAATATATGTAATTTATTTCATTTTGATAAAAAAAAATTGACTATTTGATGGAAAGGTTTATATAATTTAGAATCAATAAATTTTTTTTTTATTAATTAACACTAGTCTATTAAATTCTCAAAAACTTTTTGAAAAATCAAACCTTAGTTATTATTAAGGTGAGAACAAACACAGGAACATATAAGACTGAAACAGTGAAAAATTGAATAAGTAAAATCAAAATGCGTTTCACACAAAATAGAAAATGCTTCTTTTCTTTTTGTTTGATTTACTGTTAAAAGTGTTTTCAAACTAACCTTTACTTATCCTTTTCAAAAAAAATATCTAAAATTTCTACGATACCAGGCTTGTTTGCATGATAAATACGACACTGAGGTTGATTTTCCTTTTTCTTGTTTTAGAGATAAATTGCGTGGAAAGTAGGAATTATGAGTAAAGTGAGATCCCAACATGACGTGAGACACAGAGAGTACTCACTGTAATTGACAGGAAACAGACCACCAAATTTCACTTAGCAAATGATTTAACACATCATTCTCTGTGACCAAATGACAATCACAGAAACACCACTAATAATTGATCGGAAACAATGGACAACGACGACGGCGACGATGATAGTCTTCCGTTTTCATAAAAAGTAAATAGTAAACAATGATCTACATCATGTAATCTTGAAGGCCCCCAGATAATAATTTTTCTTATCTCCGTTAAGAAACCGTGGGGTTCTCGGCGGGTGATGTCCAGACGATGTCCTTGAGAGCCGGCCGGAGCTCCTTGCTGCAGAACTGGTTGTATTCAAGGGTGTCTCCGTTGTCCTTCTTCACCTCCACAACCAGGAAGGACGGTGTCACTGCGAAAATCTCTGCTGCAATTGCTAATTTCCCCTTTCGCCCACACTCCTGCCCCTGAAGTCTCACACTAGACTCGCTCTTCTTAACGCTGAATTTCCCTGTCTTGGCCACCTCCTCCAGTGTTGATATCACGGTGCTCGCCGGCCGTGTTGTCGCGAATCTCAGCTCCGGCTTCTCCTCCTTCTTCTTCTCCTCGAACAACGGGGACAAATCGAAGCCCTCGGATAAAGAAATTATGTGGAAAGCGTTCAGGGTCTCTGGCTGCTTTACCGTTTTGTCACTGAATTTTTCTTCCGCTTCGAATTCCGATTCCTCTTTGGTTCGTACGTTCTTTGGCACGGATTTCTTAAACCAACTGGATTCCATGATTTTTGAAATGGTGATTCGAGAACTTGGGTTGGGATCCAGAAGCTTCGTGATCAGACGGCGAGCCTCAGGGGAAAACCACGGCGGACACTTGAAATCTCCTCTGTAAATCTTCCTATACATGGCAACCAAATTATCGTCCTGAAATGGCAAAAATCCGGCCAAAAGAACATACAGAATCACACCACAAGACCAGATATCCGCCTTGGCCCCATCGTATCCTTTCTTCCCAATCACCTCTGGCGCCACATAAGCCGGCGTTCCACAAGTCGTGTGCAATAGGCCGTCCTGCTTCAAGTGCTCAGAGAACGCGCTGAGGCCAAAATCCGTAACCTTCAATTTCCCGTCCTCGTCAAGAAGCAGGTTCTCCGGCTTCAAGTCACGGTGGTAGACGCCGCGACTGTGACAGAAATCGACCGCGGAAATCAACTGCTGGAAATAAACTCTGGTCTGGTCCTCCCTCAACCGACCTTTCGCAATCTTAGCGAAGAGCTCGCCGCCTCGAATGAGCTCCATGGCGAAATAGATCTTGGACTTGCTCGCCATGACCTCGTGCAATTCAACTATGTTTGGGTGCTTCACCATCTTCATGACAGAAATCTCCCGCTTGATCTGCTCCATCATACCAACTTTAATCACCTTCTCTTTACCAACAATCTTCATCGCCATACTTTTCCCCGTCTGCAGATTCCGGGCGACGTACACCTTCGCGAAGGTTCCATGCCCAAGCATCCGCCCCAACTCATACCTCCCGTGAAGCAAAGCCGATTGATCAGCCTTACTTTTCTTCTCAGCCATTATCAACTCTCTCACCACCGGAACCGATTCGAGATCTGAAAATTCGAGAATTTACAACAATGATATAGGAAACAGAAAGGAGAGTATTGAAGAGTACGAGGCGATCTTCACAACAGATCACCCGTCCTCGACGTGTTTCCGGTGGCAGTTCCTGCCGCCGATGGACCTTTTGGCGCGTCCACACAGCTCAGGCTTTGTCAACGAAGCTCCGCCCATCTCTCCGCATTCCCCACCGAAGACGGTGCAGTCAGGAACGGAGAAAAATTAGAGGTTTTTGAGAATCAAGCGAAATCAACACTCTTAAATCTCGGTATTTTTTTTTTTCCCCCCTTCTTGTTTCACGGCCGAAACACACCGTTATATAGTGGTTTCAGTTTCTGAATATACTATCTTGCCCCTCATCGGACGGTTCGGAGTGCACTTGATGAATACCAGCTGGCTTACTCACAACGGTTGGAGATAAAACCGCCTCCCGGAGCGGGACTCGTGTGTTGGTAACATAGAGAAACCCGCCTCCGGGGTTCCGTGTGCTATTACGACACTGCCCCTTTGTTAGTACAGTAGGTTGTTAATAATTCTGTGGGGCCCCCCCAATTGCGGGGTGGGAGCGTGAGGGAGGAGGTGATAAGTTATTAAGTTATTACTGCCTTTTTTTTTTTTTTTTTTCGTTTGGTATTCAGGGCTTCGTCCTGACTAATCCGGACCCGATCCGCATCACGCATCTGAAAATAGTGGGTGAATCTCTCAACGAGAGCTGCTGCGTACATAAGGTCTCAAACTCGAGATCTTACTTAAATTGAAACAAATCGTTTACCACTTGATTCAATCCCTTATTGGTGGAGAATATTATATTATACTAGTGGATTCGGTTGATACGGAGACTGTAAAATGGTGATAACACGGTGAAAAGCTTGGGTGGGGTCCACTGA